GAATATTTATTTTAGAAAACATGTGGTTTAAAAGCTGCTTTAATATTTCTGAATGTGGCCTTTTGAATTCTGATGTACTATGAAGATGTCACCATTCCTAACCTCAAACCAAATGGAAGCTTTGAGGCTCTTTTGTCCCTTTTTTCCTCCTCCTAAAGTGTTGAGAAGCTTCAATTTGAATCCTTTTTGTGTTTTGCCTGTAAGAATGTGGCACCCAGGTGTTTTTCCCTCTTTCAGGTCTCAGTGCCCCTAGAAACAATTAGTGGGTGTCTCTGCTGAAAACTGGATCTGTTGGTTTGACATAGCAAAGGCTTTCCTGGTTTTGCATTTGTTTCTTTGGCAGTGGAATGGTGGGTCTGAATTCCAATGGAATTCAAACACAGACACATATTTATGTTAAAGAAGAGTTATAGGCATGTGTAAATTCTTCCTCCACCCCAGGCCCTTTGCTCTGCATGTCCAGAGTGACTCATAAAGCCTGATGAATTTCTCCAGGGTTTTCCCCCTGTAGGAAACTGGGGCACAGCAATGGAACTGGGGCTCCCTGGATAGCCCTGACCAGGCAGAGGGTTTGGAGCACAGCACAGCACTGCCTGAGCATGAGTGCTTCTGTCCAAATTTGTCTTGTACAGCAGATGCTCCCTGTCTGCTGAGCTAAAGCCTGGCAAAGGATACTCCTCAATATTAACTTGTGGCTGTGTCTGGATGTCCATTTCCCAAAGGAAGCAATTGTTTCTGTGGAGAAATTCCTTGTGAGGTTTCAGGGTTGGGGTTGTTTTTTAACTATTATTATTATTTTCAGTGACAATTTCATAGTAAACATTCCCCAGTGGAGACTGTGTGTTTGTTAATTGCTCATAGGAATGTGGCATTAACTCCTGAGTCTCCTGTTGTTATTTTTTTTGTTCAGGAAAATGAAGTCCGTGAAATCTGTAGAGTCTCATCTTTTTAAAGATATAATGCAAACCAAAAGTGATGTTCTGTTCAGAAAAATGTTTGTGGCTGTGCTGTTTGCTTTTCTAACTATTTGTGTCTTATTTCCCAGGCCATTCACAATTCCTCAGGTCTTGAGACCTAAAGGACAGGAGGAAGGACAGGAGACAGAGGAAGAGGATGAAGAGGAGGAGGAGGAAGCTGAAAAGGAAAGAACAAAGGTGACATTTAGCTGGAGTTACATTCAAATTTACCATATTTCTTCCCTGCTTTACCTGCAGGTGATGTGGAGCAGATTTCCTGTTTCAGAGAGGGAATATTTGAGCAGCAGCAGGGACTGAGCTGCTGTTCAGTGGCTGCTGGGCTGTGATGTGTCCCCAAGGACAGCTCTCCACTGCTTCCTGCCCTAACTGTGCTGGAGCACTGACACTTCCTCCTTGGGGAGCTTTAATCTGCTTTATCCCAGAGACAGGCAGAGCCAGCAGAGCACTCTGAGGGTCACTGGCACTGTTTCCATGGATGTGCTGGGAGCAGCCATGGGGTAGGAAGGTTTCCAGGCAGGTTTTGTGCCAGGTGTTGTGTTTACAGTCCCTGACACCAATCCCACTGGTGCAGAGGTAATGAACCAGGAACTGACTCTGTTCCCAACAGAATCCTCTCCTCTCCAGGCTTCTGCACGGTGCTGGTGGGTTTCCTGACCTGTTCCCTTACTTCCTTGCAGGACCACTTTGTGCAGGACCCTGCAGTCCTGCGGGAGAGGGCTGAAGCCAGGCGCCAGGCCTTCCTTGCCAGGAAGGGGTAAGCAAGGATCTCCCTCTGCCTCTGCAGCTCTTTTGCTGCTGGCTGGAACTGTTGGGGGTGTTCCTGCTCCTTGGCATTCCTCTGTGTCAGGGTCCTACCACAGTGGGGTGAATTTCCTTACCCACCCTTTACTTCACTGCTGGTTGTTTTATCCCACTGAATAGGGGTAGGCATGGCACGGAATCATGGAGGGGTGTGGGTGGGAAGGGACCTTAAGACCATCTTATTCCACCCCTTGCCATGGGCAGGGACACCTTCCACTGTCCCAGGCTGCTCCAAGCCCTGCCCAGCCTGGCCTTGGGCACTGCCAGGGATCCAGGGGCAGCCACAGCTGCTCTGGGCACCCTGTGCCAGGGCCTGCCCACCCTGCCAGGGAACAATTCCCTCTAATAGCCAATATAAATCTCCCCTTTTTCAGCATAAAAGCCATTCCCCCTTGTGTCACTCCAAGCAGCAGAACCCTGTGGAAGACAGGCTCTTGGAGAGCACAACTCCCAGAGCTCCAACAGCTCCCATGGGGGTTTTGGGAGTTTCATCATCATCAGCTGATGGGCTCAGTGTGTGGAAGGACAGTGGTGGTGTGGCTGATGCTGCTCTGGGCTGCCGTGGGAGCCCTGGGATGAGCCCAGGCCTGAGGCTGAGCCCCTCGCACCCTGGTGTTTGTGGGGATGTGGGATTTCACCCAGGAGTGCAGTGTGCCTCTTGTGATGGCCTTGCTCTGTGTCCTCCAGGCACAAGCACGACAGCTCTGCCGTGGTCGGGAGCGCCAAGGGCCACGGGCAGAGCCGGGAGACGCTGCAGGAGCGCAGGAAGAAAGAAGCAAACAAAAGCACCCGAGCCAACCACAACCGGCGGGCCATGGCCGACAGGAAGCGCAGCAAGGGCATGATCCCCTCCTGAGCAGCATCCCAGGCCCTGCCCAGGAGGAGGCTCCCTTTCCTGGGCCTTCCCTTCGCTCAGGGGATGGATGTTGTGTGCAATACGGAGCTGCGTTCCCTGTGGGAGTGCTGCCCGTTCCCTGCCCTGACTGTGGGTGCCAGTGGCTGCAGCAATACATGGGACAGGCTGCAGCAGCCATTCCTGCCCTTTTGTACTATTTATCATTCAGAGTTTTATTTTCATACTGGCTCCTGCCCACCCTGGAGTGGGCAGCTCCGAGAGCACGGCTTCCATGGAAATGCCTTATCCTGAACTTGAGTTATAAATTGTCCCAGCTTGGAAGGGACCACAGGGATCACGAGTTCCACCCCTGTCCCTGCCCAGACCCCCCAACAACCCCACCCTGTCCATCCCTGGCAGCGCTGTCCAAAGGCTCCTGGAGCTCTGGCAGCCTCGGGGCCGTGCCCATTCCCTGGGGAGCCTGGGCAGTGCCAGCACCCTCTGGGGGAAGAACCTTGCCCTGATCTCCACCTAAACCTCCCAACACAGCTCCGTGCTGGCAGAGAAAGGCTCAGGCTGTTCCCACTGCCAGCAGACCCACAGGGATTGAGGTGAGTCAGACCTTATGGATTTCTGTCCCTCAAGTGAGGCCTGTGAAAACAGATGGTACAAATAAAAGATGTAGATGTCTTGGTTTTTTTAGGCTCTTACAGACAGTATTGATGAACTTCCTGGTATCCAGTTAGGCTTTGCTTGGTTAATTTACTGGTTAATGTGCCCTGAGTGCCCTCTCCCCACCACGCTGTATTTTCTTGCGCTGCAGCAGTGCCTGTGGCTGTCACCCCCACAGTGGGAAAATCAGCCCTGGGTTGTGCCCCAGGGCAATCCCAGTGGTGCAGGAGCAGTCGGGTGGTAAAGTGTAGTAGGGTGGTAGTAAGGTCCACACCTTGGTGCCTGGTGTTGTGCAGAGGGTAGGAATGTGACTGGAGCTGCTGTGGGGCAGTTTGCAGAGAAGCAGAAATGCAGCAGAACAGCCGCTGCCATGAGGGGAAGCCCTGAGTGCTCCAAGGAGATTTTTCTTTACCTATCAGTGCTACCCAAACCTCCCAATGACAGGCGTGGAAAAAGGAATAGATTTACCAGCATCCCCCAGTGCTGTATCCAGGAAAATCCCCTGCTGGGATAATGCTGCTCTCCTGCAGCTCCGGCGCTCTGCACCGATGGCTTCAGCTCCTCCCTGCTGCCCACTGCAGTGCTGTCCCCTCATCCTGTATTCAGCTTTGGTTCAGCTGCTCTGAGCCTGCAACTCTCTCTGAGCTGCTCAGGCTGATGTGGAGCAGCAGCAGAGCTCAGGGAGCTGGCACTCACTCGGATGGGGTTGTCCCAGGAAACTTAAAGCTTTCTCTCAATCATCTCCATAAAGCACAGCTGGGACTGGCACAGCTGTAGTTGGGTTTGGCTCCAAAAACAAGCACAAGTGTTTAAGTGCTGGTTGTGTTCTCAGAGTAAATATTTTACCCCCCTGGTGCTCGTTTGCAAACCCAGCAAAGCTGCTGTGAGCACTGCCTCTGATGGGCTCTGCCTCAGCCTAGGCTGAAATTGCTCCTGATGAGTGGAAATGGACTGAGGAGGGGGAGCTGGGGCTGCTGGACTGGGAAAGTGGGAAGAGAAGGAGTCACTCAGCCAGATCTCCCTACAGCCACCTGAGAGCTGAGGAATCAACTGTCATTACCCCAGGAAGTGCCCAATACCCTTCCCATGGAGGAAGAAGTGTTTGACAGGGCCAGGCAGGGCTGGGCTCTTCAGGGAGAAGGGAATGACTGCTCAGGGTGGAGGAACTGGATGAGCTTTAAGGTCCTTTCCCATCTAAACCATTCCATGACTCCTGAGCCAGCCCCTGGGGGAACTGAGTGATCCCTCTCCCTTCCCCTGGGTCAGTGGGGATGGAGGCAGGTGTGACACACAAACCTGCCATCACTTCTGCTCCTCCAGCCATGCAGGAGCCAGGTGGAACAGGAACAATCAGGAAAGGGATCCACATCTCCTCTGCAAGCTACAGCTGCTCCCCCTGCACAGCCCAGCATGCAGAGCACACCCCTGCTAGGGCAGCTCTGAAAGGCCCCAACTCCAAAAGGTCTGTGAATGATTCTAACCCCTCCTCCACGGACAGGCCAGAGGAAGCAAACAGCTTCTCACCCTTCTGAGGCAGAAGCCAAGGGTTGTCATGAGCCACATCTGTCTGTCTGAGTGCTTTCACACCCATTTAAAGATGTTGTGATTCCTGACAGTGCCTTGGAACTCAGGAACAGGGCTGTTTTTAAAGATTCTCCACCTGCCAGAGGAGGAGGCACAGAGAGGGCAAAGGACAGGTGAGGTGAACACACAGACACAAGAGAGGAGCAGGAGTTTTATTTGAACACAGGAAGTGCAGTACAGCAGCAGAACTCCTTGAGTCCATCTGCCTTCACATGGTATCAGTGGTGGCTCGGAGTTGTTCCATCAGGAATCCATTCCCAGCCTCAGGAGGCTGAATCCATCCCTGCAGTGCCCGTTGCCACCCCAGGCTGGCTCCTGCTGCTGAGCTGCTCAGTTCTCATACTTGTGCTTGATGTGTTTCCACAGTTTCTGCATGCAAAACAAGCAGGAAAAAATATCAATGTGTTTTACTCAGCTTCTCAGTGGGGTTGGGATGACAGAATCCAAAATGCAAATTATCCTGCCCGGGGAGGTGGTGATGGAGTCCTGTACTGGAACTGGGGGACACAGGGATGCACACGTGGGCTCCTGGCTTCTGCTGTGGACAGGGAGGAAGCTGCAGAGATTCCCCTGCCCCTGTTCTGCTCTGGCTTAGTGGCCCAGAGACACTGCCTTGAATTCCCACCCACACTGGAGAGGGCACTTTCTGCTCCTCACATAAGGGATGCACAGAACAATCATGGAATCATGGTCTGGGCTGGAACAGATCTTAAAGCCCATCCAGTGCCACCCCTGCCATGGGCAGGGACACCTCCCACTGTCCCAGGCTGCTCCAGCCCCAGTGTCCAGCCTGGCCTTGGGCACTGCCAGGGATCCAGGGGCAGCCACAGCTGCTCTGGGCACCCTGTGCCAGGGCCTGCCCACCCTCCCAGGGAACAATTCCTAATTCCCAATATCCCATCCATCTCTGCCCTCTGGCAGAGGGAAGCCATTCCCTGTGTCCTGTCACTTCAGGCTCTTATCCAAAATCCTTTTCTCATCTCCTGGAGCCTCTGCAGGCCCTGAACGGGTCTCTGAGCTCTCCCCCAAGCCCGCCTCGGTGTCCTGCACTCATTATCCCGGGCCCGCGCCCGGGCAGCCCCGGGCGGGCCTCACCCAGCCCTTACCCCCTCGTTGAGCTGCTCGAAGAGCGCGTCCGCGCCCTGGTCGAAGGCGCGCTCGAAGAGCACGGCGCCCAGCACGATGGAGAGCGCGAACGTGGAGCTGCGCCGGAACAGCGACCCGTACAACTGCCGCAGCAGCACCATCTTGCCTGCGCGCCCCGCGCCTGCGCCGCGCCGCAACGGCTGCTGGGGGATGTAGGCGGTGCTCCGTGAGTTGTACGGAGCGCCAAGCGCCCGTGGGGCATGCTGGAAGTTGTAGGCCGCGTGCCGGGTGTGACATGCGCGTGCGCTTTGCCGCGGGGTGTTGTGGGAGTTGTAGGCGGCTGCGGCGCGGGCCTGGCCAGAGGTGGGTGAGCATGGCGGGGGTCCCTGTGAGGGGGTCCCTGTGAGGCTCCGCTCGTCCCGTTCCCCCCACCTTGTCCTCAGCGGCCTCCGCGGGGCAGCCCCGGGTTGGTGCGGTGAAACCGGCCCGGCCGTGGCTGGGGCCGGGGAGCAGCGGGGCGGGAGGGCTGAGGGGGCAGAGACACCCGTGCCTGCCCTGCCTGCCCTGCCCGCCCTGCCCTGCGGCCAGGGGTGACGGGGACAACCCTCAGCTGACCCCCGGAAGGTGGGTGGGAGAGGATTTGGGGTGGTTTTTGGGGTTGTAAAAGGTGGTTGGTGTCAGTGTTGGGGGAGTGGGAGAGGGGTGTGGGGCTGATGAATCTTGGAATGGTTTGGGTTGGAAGGGACCCTGGACAGGGACAGCTTCCACCATCCCAGGCTGCTCCAAGCCCTGTCCAGCCTGGCCTTGGGCACTGCCAGGGATCCAGGGCAGCCACAGCTGCTCTGGGCACCCTGTGGATCCCAGAGGATCTCTGACAGCTGCTCCAGAGGCCTCGGGGGCAGTGGGACCCGGCCCCCTGGGGCACAACAAAAGTGGGAATGTTCCCATTTGCTGCCCCTCTCTTCATGTTTCTCTCTTTTTAACCTCAGTGAGAGCAGAGCATCCCCAGGGTGACTCTAGCACAGATAGGAGAGAGATTTGGATTTAGGAAAGCAGAACAGACAGGGACAGGACAGGGAAATCCTTCCACTGAGGCCGTTTCCCCATAGGGCTCTTGTTAAATGAGTATCTGCATGAAGTTCCAGAGCAGGCCCTCAAGTGACACTGCTTTGTTGTTTTGTTTGTCCCACCCCCTCAGAAGTAGCACAAGGTCTGTCTGCAGAATAATTTCTCCTGATTTATTTAAATTTTTTTCCTCATGCAGTGACTCTGGGGGTCTGTGGGATTTTTCTGGAATAGGACAAGACCTCTCCTTGTTCTGGGAGCCTGGAAGGTGCTTGGCACATTCCTGTGCAGTGTTATCCCTTTGGAACCCCAGAACATCCTCATTTAGGAAGGGACCACAGGGATCACCCAGCCCAGCCCTGTCCCTGCCCAGACCCCCCAACAACCCCACCCTGTCCATCCCTGGCAGCGCTGTCCAAAGGCTCCTGGAGCTCTGGCAGCCTCGGGGCCGTGCCCATTCCCTGGGGAGCCTGGGCAGTGCCAGCACCCTCTGGGGGAAGAACCTTGCCCTGATCTCGCAGTGACTCTGGGGGTCTGTGGGATTTTTCTGGAATAGGACAAGACCTCTCCTTGTTCTGGGAGCCTGGAAGGTGCTTGGCACATTACTGTGCAGTGTTATCCCTTTGGAACCCCAGAATATCCTCATTTAGGAAGGGACCCCCAGGATCATCCAGCCCAGCCCCTGGCCCTGCCCAGACCCCCCAACAACCCCACCCTGTCCATCCCTGGCAGCGCTGTCCAAAGGCTCCTGGAGCTCTGGCAGCCTCGGGGCCGTGCCCATTCCCTGGGGAGCCTGGGCAGTGCCAGCACCCTCTGGGGGAAGAGCCTTTTCCTGATCTCAGCCTGAGCTGCCCTGGCCCTGCAGCCATTCCCTGGATTCTGACCCTGGTCACCACAGAGCTCAGAAAAACTCAATTTTTATTTTTCACATGTAACTACTCTGGATAGCTAACACAAATCCCCCCAGCTGCCCATTAATTAATTGCTGCTGCCAGGAGGGTTTGTGTGTGGTCAGGTCGATGCTGATCACAAATCAAGCTCTGGATTCCCAGTGGAAGCTGTGGCAGGGATTGGGATGAGATGAGCTTTAAGGTCCCTTCCAACCCAACCATTCCATGATTCTCTGGCTTCCCACTGCCAGAGGGCAGGGATGGATGGGATATTGGGAATTAGGAATTGTTCCCTGGCAGGGTGGGCAGGCCCTGGCACAGGGTGCCCAGAGCAGCTGTGGCTGCCCCTGGATCCCTGGCAGTGCCCAAGGCCAGGCTGGACACTGGGGCTGGGAGCAGCCTGGGACAGTGGGAGGTGTCCCTGCCATGGCAGGGGTGGCACTGGATGGGCTTTAATGCCTCTTCCAACCCAATCATTCCATGATTGCTCTGGGTGGAATGGGAAGCAGGATCTGTGTCTGTCATTGGGAAGGTGCTGGCAGACTCTGCTGCCATTCCAAGTCTCCCTGCAGATCTGAGCCCATTAAATTGGCAGCTGAGTATCAGAAGCCTGACACTTGGATTTAATTAATTCACATCTGCCTGGGTATCCAAAGTGGCTGGAATGGCCCCGAGCCCGGGCTGTGAGAAAGCAGGAATTGAGGTCAGGGCCCAGCAGCTCCTCCCGGGGCTGGTGTGGAGAGCAGCAGCTCCCCCCAGACACAGAGGGGTCTGTGCCCCTTCCTCCCTCACCTTCCTCCCTCACCCTCCTCCCTCTGCCCCGTGAAACAGCCGAGGGGCAGAGACAAAATCTGCAGCTGACACACAGCAGCGTGGAGTGTTCTGGCAGCAGCTGGAGCAGGGAAAATGTGGGATGGTGCCCAGGATATCTTGGCTAGTTGTCCCAAGCCCCTCTCTGTCACCTTCGAGGTGCCTCACACCAGGGTATTGCTCACCCAGCAGGGCTCCAGGAGACAGCACAGCATTGCTGTTAGCTGTTGCACTTTCATACAACATAAAGCCCTCGGTTGTTGGGTTTTTTTGTTAATTTTAATTAGCATTTATTCAGGGAGACTTTTAAGCTGGCACAAAGCCTGGCTGGAAGCATTTATGGCTGCGGTGGGCCCAGGTCTGAGTGCTCTGATTCAGTTGCAAATCAGGGGCTGGAGATGCTGAGGGGAAACGGCCAGGCTGAAGCAGCTCTTTATAGAACAGCTACACTTACTTTATTTCATAATGACTAAGATGGATTTAATTAGGAATCATCTCTGTTTTCAGCTGAATAATGCTCTTTGTTTACTGCTGGAGCCGTTTGGGGAGATGGAAATAGGTTGGTGCTGCTCAGAAGCAGCTTTTGAGTCCTCTGGACTCTCAGAGTGCTGGGAAGTGCTGGTGTTGCAGGGAGTTGGCAGAGCCCAGCAAGGCATCCATGCAGTGGAATCCTTGAAAAGATGGGGATAAGTGTTGGGTATAATCACCGAAGGGGAGAGTCTCAGGGAGAATCTGATACCTCTCTAATTGCCTTTTACAATCCCTCCGTCCCCTGCAGTGGGAATTGCCCGGAGAGTTCGAGAGCAGGCAGCCCTGGGCTGTGGGATCTGGCTGGCTGGAGTCTGTAGGAGCTTTCTGCCCTGGTTGTTGGGGGAGGAGGGGGAAGGAGCTTCTGCAATTATTGCTGTTGGAGTGATGAAAGAGAAAGTTTGAAATACGATTTCAAAGGCTGGCTGCTGCTGGGCTTCCGCAGGCAGAATTCCCTGGGAGATCTCTGGAAACTTGTGTGGGACCACTGCAGAATCTCATTTGTTTTCCCTGTCTGCAGCATTCTCTTCTGCAGAGATGGAGTGCAGGAGCCAGCAGCTGAGACAGGGAGATTTTTCTGTCACCAGGAACTTTGGGAGACTATGGAATAACATGTGGAACAGGGATTTTTCAGTATGTAAAAGCACTGTTCCCCCTGAATTCCAGCAGCCTCACCACAGTGCTACAAACCTGGCTGCAAAACTCATGGATGCAAAGGATGAGGGAATTTATGGCTCTGTGCTCATTAAACAGCACTTGGGTTTGGGTTCTTGGGCTGGAGGAGGATGATTTCAGACCTCAAGCCCTGCAGAGCTGGGTGGGATCAGCCCAGGGCGTGGGGGATTTGGGGTCCCAGCACACACAGCTGGAGCATGGCCAGGAAGGACCCTCAACACGAGATTTCCAGTTCACTTGGAATATCTGAACATTTTACCTTCAGTGTGGAGGTTTTCAATCTAATTTAAAAAAATCTCAGAAGGCCTTCCCATGGAGTGCAGCTTTGCTTTAGCTTGTGGTGTGAGAGGCCTCGGAGATTTCCAGGGGTTTGATTTTGAAGCAGCAGTTCCTGGGAGCAGGGGAGGGAAGGGAATGTGGTGCTGGTGCTCCTGCTGGGATGGATGTCTGGCAGGAGGCTTGGCAGCCCTGCCTGAGCTGGGCACACCGGGCTCTCAGGGGTTGCCTGGTGCTCTGCTCTTCATGCTGAGCCAGGGGAATCGGCCAGGGGGCTGTGATTGATTCTGGACCTGTTTTATTTATAAAACCTTTATTTCTTGTGCTGGTCTCTGTGCCACTTTTTAAATGCATTCAGCTGTCAAAGTGTCAAAACCTGGAGAATTGCTTTTGGAGTTTATCTCCCAGTCCATCCATCTTTGCCATTCACCAGGCACCTTTATATCCCTCGGGATGTAGAGAGCCTGCAGCTCCTTCAGGGTGTTTGTTGCACCTCCAGCAGGGACATCTAATGGGAACAGGTGCCTGAAGGATAAAACACCAGCTGGTCTCACCTGCAGTGACAGTGGCAGGCCCAGCACAGGTGGGAGCTCCCAAATTCTGTTGTGATCTTAGTGCTGTACTCAGAGCAGACACTCCTTGGTGCAGTAGGCTGGGGAGGATGAGGACAGCAATCCATGATGTCTAGGAAAAGACAGGTGGCTCAGTGGATTGTAGGAAATGTGTCCTGTAGTGTTTGCAAGGCAGCTGCCCACCTGCAGGACAGGTGAGATCAGCTTCTGTTTTATCCTTGAGGATAAAATGAGCTTTGCTGAGTTTCTTCCTTATCTTGCAGAGATGGACACAGGGGAGTTTCCTTCCTCTTTTATATCAGCTCATGGAGGTTGTGATCAAAGGTGCCCAGGACCTCCAGCTCCTCCTGTTTGCACCTTGGATGGTTTGTGCTGCACCTTCCCTGG